CACAGCAGCCTTAAGCTACTTGTTTCCCATGCTGAAACTCGGTGGGAATGAAACTAGTTTAAGGAATTGCAGAGTGGATTCTTATTGGTTCTTCAGCTTTGGCAATGTTGCTGGCCTGTATCCTATCTGCACATTCCTTATCAGTCCCCCTGATTGGTGGATTCCTCTGGCTTCTTTATGCCTCCCACCCATGCTAAGAAAGCAAACACCAGACGTTTGCACCGATAGACTTTTGGTATAAACCCCTCTATTGATTCCCGCTCTACTCGACACCTTCCTATTCTCTGCCTCTTGGGCTAGGAGGGGAAACTGGTAGAACTTTCATCAATTTCACTTGGTTTAAAAAGAAAAAAGAAAAAGAAAAAAGGTCCACCATTTCTGTGGTTTACCAGGAACTATCCTGCTTCAGGTTTCAATAACTGACTCACACACAGTTGGTATGATAAATCACAGTTTACTCAAGGTCAAGAGATAATAACAGTCAAAGCAAGCAAACCAAAGTCACAGATGCTTGCCTGAATGATTGTTTTCAAATAGGAGCATGCCGAAGGAGAGTCCAAAATCAGTCCAAGGTTCTGACAGCGGAGTCAGGTTGTCAGCCAGTCCAAAGTCAGGGGTTCAAGGTTTCTTACACAAACAGGATTCATAGGAACATAACTCAAGAGCCGGAGATCAGACATGATTTCTAGCAAAAAGAAGGTGGGTCAGGGCTGCCTCTTAAATCAGACTGCAGCCAGCTGTCACTAATCAAGAGAGTTACTCCCTTGCTTAGTGAGGAGCCTCACAGACTCTCTGCTCTCTTCATCGGGTGTGGAGACTGGGAGGCCTTACATCATCCTCATCTGACTGTTCCAGCTGTCCAGGTGGTGCCTGCTTTTGATCAGCCTCATGTGGCTCCTAGCTTGGTGTCTCCTGAGGCTGACATTCCACAGGTTCCACTGGAGCAGCTTATTCAGAATCTGAGTCCTGAGCCTGGGTCATGACAGGAACCCTGTTTTAAATAAAAAGGAGGTCCAGTTTTGCCAGTCCACCAGTGGGGAAAAAAGAAAGTTCCAATCCTCTCTGAACAACTGCTGCTTGCCCTAAACTGTTGGTATACCAGTTGCATGTGATTAGGAAGCAGTGAGCTGGTGCTTCAGAGCACTGCTTGTTGCAGATGTAGAAGTAACCCACTTAATGCCCAAGACCTAGCTTGCAAAACACAGTGAGGCTCAAGCTTTATGTGTGCATGATTCCCTCTCCAGATGCAGAGGTCCCAGAAACAGCCGTGGAGGCCAGCAACAAGTGACTGGAGGGGAAGGGACATGCTAGCTGCTCCTTACAGTGACCAGTAGGAGCACAGGTCTTATCTAGAGTGAATTCAGACGCAGCAGAGCAATCACTCTGCTGGTCTCATGCCAGCCTAAGCTGCAAAGCATTCCAGATTCCTGAGCAGCAGAAAGGTGCAACTGCAGGCTGCCTCCATGCCGGGATAGGGGTGAAATGATGAGGGGGACACCTATTCAAGTGTCCCCTCTCAATGCAACTGCTGAAGCACACACACACACAGCAGGTATTTTAGAAGGTCCAATCTTCTGACGAGATCCAGCAAAATGAGGACATGTCCTCCATCTTAAAATCAAATATTGTCTGGCTTTTTGAGTATCTCTTCCTGAGCAGCTTTTCTCCTGCTGAGGGCACGCGAACAAGCTCAGCTCTGCGACCTTCATTATTTGATTAGTATCCCCCCCCCCCCCCCTTCTC